TATAAACCCACTCTTAGAACCACCGCTTGGCAAATCACAAAGTTTCTCCAGCGTATACCAAATTTGATAGTTTTGATGGGACCAAACGTGGGAACATAACATTCGGTTCCCATATCCCTAAGAAAACACCACGTGATAAGCGATATGAAAAGACGACTTTCGCTGCCCGAGTACAAGGACCAGACGTGGGCTGTTTGTTCTTCAGGCTCACAGCTGCAAGGGCTTCAACGAGCTTGACCTTTACGTATTCAAAGATTTTGTGTGCATGGAATGTAAGCCTGCCGTGCATTTTTAACTTCCTCATGACAGTGAGTTTCATTGCAGATTCGGGTAAACAAACTGACATGTATTAAAGACTAGCGCCTACCAAGGGCGGATCCAAAACCAACTTTTTTGGGGGGGGTCCAATCTGTTTGCAGAGCTAAAAAGTTAGGACTTCCTTCATGCAACCTTTTTCAAACCTTGCTAGGGGTAAGGTTCCACAAGCTTTGGGGACATGCCCGCCCCCCTCTCCCGCCCTCGAATGCTACATGTACCTCGAGCTAACAAAGAGACGAGAGCCAGGATGATTTTAAGGTTGTTGCCTGGCGTCTCTCTTTCCCTCTCTCGAGAAGTAACCAAGAGCAGCGTCAGCGTGATCAAACTTCACTACTTGTATTTCAACACACTCTACTGGGAACTGTTCTTACCAGTTAAGCCCGTAGATTCCACGCAAACAGAGGCGACGTGTGACAAAATAGGGTGCGTGTATGATAGAGCGCGAGTTACAGCCCACGTATCTTCCCTGCCCGACAGCCCCCTCCATGATGCCGCGCAAGACAGGGTCTGTTGTAAAGATATTATGGAAAAACGCACCTGGAAATTACGTTCCTTTTCTGTCAACTTGAATCGTTGTCTGACCGCCAATACACCCTGACACAACTGCTCTTTGTAAGGAAGGGTGGACTGGAAAAACATATTTATGCCACAAACATAGAATTGTATCATCTGGGCGGAATCCTTTTCTCGTTTGACAGGCCTATGCCTGGTTTTTATTTCTCAGTGTAAAGTCTGCGGAATTCAGTAAGCTCACTTACATTACAGAACATTACGCAAATACAAATTGTTTGGGAGTGAAAACCACCTGTCCTGATTCAGTCCTTCAAAATTAACATAATATCCCACATACCCTAGGGTGTTGGAGTTAGTACTAGTACCGAAGTAGTGTAATTTACTGATGGGCGCTCGGCATCACGCGCTATAAACCTTTAGTTAATGGGTCCCCTATTCATAAGTTCAATGGTATGAAGGATAATGGTGGCAGGAGACTGATTTTGCTATTCTTGCATTATTCATTACGAGAGCCAAAAATACACATTGGTCAGATCACAGTGGCCAGATCAGGGAATTTGCCCGCCGCTCTGTGGGCCCCTACGTGGCGACATAATATTACAGTCAGGGTGTTGATGAATGCGGTATGCACTGATGTCTGGAGAACTGGGAATGCATCTGACACACCTGATCGTAGTTGTCCCCTGGCAAGCATGCCTGCCTTATTTTCTTCATACACAGACCAATCCAGAAGTACAGGGTGGTTCAAAAGAAAAAGTAAACCCAAGGTTAAGGTGACTGTTCACCCTACATCCTTCAATCCTGAGAATTTGTATTTACCTCGTGCTGATGACTGGGGTGCTCAGCGATAATCCTGAAACAGTGGTAGGTCTAGCTTAATCGGGTTCCAAGATATCGCCTATTACATATGGCATGTACATGTACAAAACCGGGTTTTTTCCCCACAAGAGCTTCATTGCACATAAGAATGACCGAGCAAAACGATAACACGCATGTGACAGAAACTGAAGGTAAGAAAGGCCCGTGGATAAGTCACTACTCATCAAAGCTAGTTAAATACAAATTCTCTGGATTGAAGGATGTGGGTGAACAATCACCTTAAACTTGGGTGTACTTTTTCTGAACTACCCTGTCGGTCCAAGTTCGCTGTTTTCATGTTTCTCACACGTCCTGACTCGGGTATATGGGGGTGTATGATTCAATGGCACATTGTGGAATGCGTATGGCATGAACTAGACTGTGACAACATCAGGAAATGACACGGCCAAAATGTTGAAACAAGAAATAAATCTGCGCCCACCATGTCCTGTAACAGGAAGTGGGATTAATTTCATTTAAAACTTTTCTATGCATCTGTTCAACCCAAGAGAGACTTCTTTTTTTTTCTTAAAAGAACTGAAAGACAAGTAACGCAATTGCCACCGAGAAAAGCTTCGAATGACCGAACTTGACCGAAACAGCGATGTTGCTGCACTCTACTCAGACGAGTTCTTATATACGTGTAAATCAAGAACGTAGAACTATCCTTTGTCCATTCGATTTATATGGCTTTCTTGGTCGAAATAGCAAAAGATGGCTCGGCAATCTGTACGACAAAAATCAAAACAGCGTTTCTAAACACATCCCCGTGTATATTGTGACGAGACTACGAGACCTCAGCTGTGATAGATTACATGTCATGACTGCCCAGCCCGGCGGTCCAGGATGACTCATGTGCATATTGTATATATATTTATATAATATATCCCTTCGGGTCATACACCTCGTCGTTTCATCACACTGGGCCTGTCCGTCGGTGCTAATGCCTCGAGTCTGAGCTCCGGACTCGGACCCTTCACCGCCGAACAGTCGAGCAAAACACGTGTTAACCCACACACATGGGTCAGTACATGTCCATTATTATTGCGCGGAAGTGACTGTTCCGTGGGGTTATGAGATAAGCGGTGTTATCGCTCACCAAGGCAACACTGCTCTAATCAACAACGAAAGACAATTTCATAGAAGTACACGAATACTGGCATTATTTACATTGGTTAAAGGCACTACCAAAACGCATTACGATTACATTGAGGTAGGTAATAATATGTTCATATATGGCAATAAACAACATTTAATTGATATGACACGTAGGTTCCAAAATAAATCAATGCTCCAAACAATTTGACTGTGAACTTATCAGCCTTTTTTTTTGGGTTAAGTCATTTCACTTGTATAAGACACAAAGTGCGACTCACGCAGTGTTATGTCCGCAACAGAACGCAGTCAGTATACGTGAAAGTGTTTTAATGTATTCCCGATAAACACGAACGAGTGGTACTTGAAACCATGGTTGTTGGATTTGAATCAATTGATTTCAATCATTGGTTTAAATCACGAAAAAAGAAAATGTCAAGGAAACCTTTTCCTTATGGGTGTTTAAAAGGAAGGGATGGCTGAACTTAGTATACTGATGCCTATAAAACATTTACACATTTACATTTATCTTTCATATCTTCAGATTTTTTTACAGTGTACAAAAATGAGTAGGCCTACTGACAGTTTTGTTTGGAGCTGGTCATAATTTGAAAACTTTTGAATGCGTATTACCACTTTCCTTAGGCATGGTTTTAACGATATGATAGAAAGTCAAGTCATTTTCAGTTGAGAAAACCTGTTTATGGAATGGTCATTCCATTTACACGTATTTAGATAGAGGCCTGGCAGTATTGCCAAATATTATGAATATTGGAATACCAAAGATGTGTACTTGTTCGACAAAGTCTCTCGATATGTAACATAAGGCATGTCACGTGTTAGCAAGTACAGGAGTTTTAGCCCAATTAAAGAGCAAAGACACTGATCTTTAATCATCTTGTTTTAACACTGAGGCTGCATCCGAATATGTTGTCTAGAGCTAGGTCTGGGTCTTCGCTCCATTGGAAATGCGTGGAGACGCGTAGACAATAGACCTAACCGCAGCTCTGGAAGCCCGTTTCCGACACGGCTTGAGTTTTACCCAAACAGTTTCTTTTTTCATATCAAGAGCTTTGCGTATTTCAGTGCACGTTGCATTGGGTCGACAACTTTCGCGCATTGTGATTGGCCAACGCGTTGGAAACTCTTGGTGGCGCACTATTGTGAAACGGCCGTATTGCTTGATTAGAAATACATGTAAACAATTCAACATAGGACAAAGTTATAGCCTCAGCTGTCTGCAGTCGGTCCTTTAGTCATCACGTGGTGTTTCTTGTCTTGAACCTCAGGACAAAAAGCCTTCTGGACACTCATACAAAGAGAAGAAGGAGGAAGTGGTGTGTGTTCCTGTCCCGAGAACAGTGTTCTTGGGTCGTGCTCTCGCTGTTCGAGCGCAAGAACAAGAAACCTGTGTGAAGAACAGGCCGCTCGAACTCGACCAAAAGGGCTGAGGGAACGAAAGCATTACTGGTTCATGATGCATGTATTCTGCCAATGTGTTTGGTATGCGAAGTCCCCGTGTGAAAGACTCCACAACTTCGAACAAAGGTGTCTGCCAAGCAAAAACATGAACCCGGAAATGGCGAATAACGTTTCGCCAGAACGACGGTTATGGAGAACAATTACCAAGAAAGTTCATTGTAAACGGCAATCAAAATTGATGACTTTGACGCATGGGCATAAAAGGCACGGGCAGCGCGTTCACCCTACGCACCCGGAGGTGACAACGCCTGTGGAGTTTAGACAGACCATAAAATCTCTTGACTAACCGGTTTTGTTAGGCATTTTCTGCTCTGAGAGAGAGACTAGCCGCCTGCCCGTGATTAAAATGAATTGTAGTTACAAATTCACGAGGAAAACGCAACAGACATAATCCAAATTCGCTGCAGATACCTGGATGGGTTATGACGAGGGAGGGTTACGGAATGCTTATGTTAAAAAATATGAAAATGAATTCAACAAGCCGACTGTTCCGTCTAGCTACAATCATTTAATCTTTCCGAAGGAAGTTTATATCAAACATGTCAAAATAACCTTTTAAATGCCACAGTGTTAAATATTGAACAGAAAGCAAGATCTTCGCGCTAGAGAGCTTCTTTTTTCGGCATAATAACGGCCTTATTGATGTAAAGTGACTGGATCTTTAAAGACACCATTTTGATTGTGGTTTGATATTAGGGGGGGTCCGTCTGATGACCGTTAAACCTTTGTCTTACCTGTGCTTATGGAATGTAAGATTGACGAGGTTAGCGACTACTAGCAGAATCATTCCAATTTCGCAAGCCAGGAACGCCCATTCGATCCGAGGCACCAAGTCGAAGACGACATCGGGGAGGGGTGGGCTGACGGTCAAGTCGGGCGTGCGATCGTGTGTGTAAGTCATAGTGAAGGCCGACATGAAAGACACCAGCATACAGTATAAGACGGCCAGGACCGTCTTGAAGGGCTCGGACTCAAACCGCGGCGGGGATGACGGGGCGTGATGGGCCGCCGCCGAAGCCTGCGCCTCGGCGATCTCGATGGCGATCTTCTCGATGGCCGAATTGGGCAGAGCACCGTTCGCCTGGTGGCCGTGGGCATGGGCCAGGCTTGGGTGCATCCCGTTGGAGAGCCCCCCATTCCGCATAAAACCGTTGCCGTGGCTTTTCTGGTGTTCGTGCGGATCGTCTAAGTCAATCACGGTGGTGCTGTCGTTACCTATCATCTCCGATGTCTCGTCGCTGGACGATCGCGCGTCTCCGTTTCGGCTGGCCAGGTAGTTCGGTGTGTGGGTATGACAGCATGACTTTTCCATGGATTTACACTCTATGGTTGTCCATTATTTCCCTAAGAGTAGCAGTACAAATCAACAACCAACATGGGCGCAGCAGTTTCGAGCATTCATGCACACCGTCGGGTAACAGACAATGCACTCTGCACATTTCAGGCACAAAATTAATACTTAGTCTGGCTGGCATGATCCACTCCTGAGCGGGTGTGTTTCTGAAACCGAGCCCCGCAGGGACTGATTATGCACGCAGACTCTGGACGAAGAAACTGACATACCATTACCCCCTGACCCTTAACTATGAATCGTTCTGACGCTGATAGCACTGTCTATGTTTGTGCGGGTTTTTTCCGCTACTTGCCGATAGAGAGTAAGACCGTGGAGGAAGGAACACACACTTTTCAAAGTGCGACTAGGATGAAAGATCTTTTCCCACCTCCATGATCAAAACAAACACAGTGTTGTCCATTCCTTTTCAAAAAGTTCGGAGAATAACAGCATAGGAAGGGATATTTGAGAACTCGTAACTTCAAAATAAACAGCACAACGATGGTTCCAATGTCAGGCATTCAACTTGCCAAAACTTTGTTGTCGCTTTGTGGTGTTATCGGGGTTAACAGACACTCGTTAGGGTTTGACGCATTTTCTTCATAACATAGACTTTGTCTCTAAAGTTCAAAGTTGCGCAATCCATGGAGGCAACCCAGGTTACTGAGTTTGGTCCAGGAGCGAATGGATTAGCTGTGCTGGCCTCATGCTTCCAAAATGTGCGTTTTGTTCTTTCAACGTGCATCTCTGTATTCATCCTTTCTCCGCGGTCTTACGGTCTTTCCCGGGATCTACCAGCTCGGCCTTTTATGCCTCGATTAACAGTATTCCTCAACAGTGTGACCCAAAACAACCTGATATGGATGTCGAAATAATCTTTCATTGTAGGCGACCACGAACGTGGGCCTAACCATTCTGGTACACACACAGTGAAACAAAGCTACATGTACAGCTGTTCTCCCCATGCAAGGGAAAAGTTTGTTGACCCCGAATACACTAACCCCTTAACGGGAATAGTAATAAACAGGACGTGGGAAATTTTCTAGGGTGTCCTTCAAGGAGGCGGGTAGAGCGAGGTTATCGGGCACCCATTGTATTTGGCTGGTATGGGGGGATTTTGAGGTTGAGGTCACATCAAAACTTGGCACGAACTTGGCACGAAGTAGGTATTACCAACTCAAAATGGCCTACTCAGGCCAAATTGAATCGCGATAGCGCATAAGCAGACGTGAAATGGTCTTGAGCTGGTTCCCTCCTCTGTCTTATTTAACAGTCACTCGGCACCAGCTATAGATGAGGGAAAGGTCGATCAGGTAACGGTTATGGCTTCCGGTAACTTAAACTCGGAAGGATAAGGCAATATCTAAGATCCTTGTCAAATTGATTGTAGACGCATCATGGGCGCCGGTTTTTGCTTTTCAAACGTGGGGAGTCCTAACCTTGATCTGAATTAGCCTAGTGGAGGGCGGAGACGTGCAGACGGCATGGTGTCCGGGGCCGGAAAATTGGAGATTATAGCTGCCTTGTGGTGCAATGTGAGACGGTGGCAATTTCTGACCACTTCAAATGTTTTTGAGCAAATGCTTTGGCAAGATTTATTTCATGTTTGAAATCACTTTTATCCTTTGAAAATTCAATGGAAGACGAGAGCCGTTTGTTTTTCATTACCACACAGTAAGAGGAAAGATTTGGCATTATTGACAGCGACTCTTATATCAATCAACGTTCAAGCTTCCTCCCCCTACACTTTTTTTTAGGAACCGGATGAAAAAGTGATGCCGGGGGGACGAACGATGTGGTGTCCTCTCCACATTAAAATGTTGGGGGACATGCCACCAGGTCCCCGCCGATTGACGCCCATGTTGCCGCTGCAAACTGATGCCTGTGCGTTTTTAAAAAGCGTCAGCGCTATCGCAAGTTCCGTGTAGAAAGGGCTAAACTGACTTTACAGGATTCAGGACTGGCGGCTACCTGATTTGGAGGGAAAATTTCCCTAAAGTATTACTGGATTCCCTTAAAAAAGGTCAACAGAAGTGATCGAGCAATGGTAAATGGGCTTTAATTTCATGTGCCTGCGTGTCTCAAAACTATAAGACTTTTCCTGGATTTTGGAAGTGCCCAAGGTATTCATTATTTACTCCTTGTATGACAATTTACTTGCGCGATGTTGCCGTCGTTTCTGCATAATAGAGTTGTAGCGAGTCATTTATTTTTGACTCTAGTCGAGTCATTGTAACTCAGTGACTCGAGTTGAGTCATTGTAACCCAGTGGCTCAATTCGAATCGAGCCAAGTCATTGTAACTCAGTGACTCGGGCCGAGTCGTCATTGTAACGTAGTGACTTGAGTCGAAGTCAGTCGTTTTAACAATAACATAGTGACTCAAGTTGAATCGAGTCATTAGGAAAGAAAAGTTGAGTCGAGTCAAGTAGTTAATTCGAGTCACAAATATTTGAACACAATAGGATAAATAAAAACAAGAGATAAATTCATTTTTGACTTTTTTTAGATAACCTCTTGGTTTCTACATGTGGGCACACTGTAGCTTGCTCTTGACGATAATTACACAAGAAGAAACATGATAATCAAGCATTGTAAATCAGTGCAAATAATTTCTTCTTTGTTGTATTATTGGGACTCGAGTCTTATTAACTTTCGCTTGAGTCGTGTCTACTGATAAGGGACTCGAGTCGAGTCACTTTTATACCAATCGAGAATCGAGTCGAGTCGCCAAAAAATGTGACTCGAGTCGGGAGTTATTGATTCGAGTCAAGTTGCAATATAACTCTGCAATTGCAAAATAACCGGGGTCTTTCGTTTGGCAACCAGTACGGGAAGCATGCGGGTAGTGACACGAAACTATCCGTGACCACAGGATCTGATTCGACGGACCGGTTCCAAACCATGACAACAGTTGTGGTGTGGAGACACACAAAAGGCCGTGTATGTGTGAAGTCAGTGACACGCTGTAATTTGTAAAATATATAAATAGTTCATTCCGCTATGTTGAGATTTTCTCCCAAATACGACGCAGAAAAGACCTCAATAGGCCTAAACTTAATCACAACTGAAAATGATCAAAACAAAGAAAGAGAGACCGAGGTAGCCTGAAAACGTGGCCTGACCAAAGGGTTTGAAGTTTGCATGCGTGAGCCACCTGAAGTTTGCCTAACCCGCCAGGATCAGTTCTCTACAGGAGAGGGATTCAGTTAACACCTGGGTATTAATCCCCTCCAAAAACAACTCAGCGTACCAAGGAACCAAGAAAAACCGTGGTTTCGTGCTTTTGAATCGCTTTCCATCATTTCACTTTTTTCCTAGAGATCACAGCCTACAATATTTGAACTTCAAGTTTTGCTCCGGACAACACAGCAACCAAGCAGACACACACTTACAAGTAAACTAATTTTCCCCCAAAGAACAGTAACGATTAATTTGTCATCATGCCTCCGTGTCGCTTTATAAACAATGACACCTCGTCCTGTCCTGAAAAAAAGTAAAGCATTTAGTTAACCACTGTCCCAGCGTCACCTCCTGTTAAATGGAGTATTCAGGAAGGCATATAGCCTATAGGCTATCGTGGAAACCACGACTACTTGATGGTGGGCATTAAAACCAGCATTAAGGCTTTAGGTTTTGAGTCATTACACTGGAAATGAAACAATACATCCGCTGCTTGAATCAATTTACTCAAAAAGGTAATTGATGGTCTACTGTGTATTTTTTGACAAGCCCCAAAGCCCTGTAATTATGATTCAGGGACGACCTACATCGTGTCTTTGTGTTATTTCAAATTCATTTTACAAACCGTCCATTTACACAGTATTCTCCCAAGAACGGAAAAGTCAATTTCATTTCATCAAACTCGAAGAAACGGGTACTCGACTCCAACCAACGGGCAAATTGTACATAATTTAAGAGGCGCTAAATTCAATGTGCGACATTTTATCATTTTGATGAATAACTCTTGCCTCAGTTCAGGACGGCATCGTAATATTAATCAGCCGCTGAATGGAGGTGTCTAGAGAACATCATTACATTTCGCCACGCATGTTTGCACAGTGGCTAAATAATTCATTTTATTAATCATATTTGTGTTTTTGCCTCTTCAGACTCATCGGCTCTTCCCCGCTTCAAAGAAAAACAATGAATAAAGATTGCAAAAACACGTAACTTTCTCGGGTACCTAAGAAACACATCAAGTTGAAGCTTAGTTTCACCATCTGTCATTGTAATCTAATCATTTGGGGGGGGTCCACCCAGATATAATCACACCCGCTGAAAAGTGGTTCTGTCGCCATTTAGGAAAGCGTGCGTGCGGGCTGCTGCCATAGCAAAGTACAGCGTCTTTTGGGAGCAACGCTCCATCCACACCTCACACAACACAAGCTGACAGTCCGGTTGGTCACAGTTCCCCCAGAGAATTCGAGCGCACGCACATTGCATGCATTGTGATTTGGTCGGCGCGGCGCAGGCAGTTTTGAATATTAATTGGCCACTACAAACTACCGCTAAAATCAGATTGGTTTTGTATAAACTGAAAAGAAAAAAGAAAGACCAACAATTGACACAGACATCTGGACACGTATCTACCATATTTGGTTCTGCTAACCAGCGCTTAGTCTGGGCTGTCTTAGAGCTCGACTGTTCCTTTTCCTCGCTACTTTGTGGCCAACCTTCCGTGAAACCCATAGACTGCTTCTTTTGTCTCCCCGCACCCAAACAGCCGTTGGCCCAAGATCCGATTCAGACGGTTCAACCATGGAAGGAGGGAAACAGGGCTGAACTTCTGACGAGTTCGTTCACCCTTGCTTGGTGAGGCCTAATTGAGGGCGCTAGATGCGAGAGTGCGAGCGATGACCAATTTTAGGAATATTGACTGCTTCGAGTGGTGTTGATAAGTAATAGCCTCTCCAGATGGTCCTAGCATTCTATTGTGTCCCAGGAGGCTAGTTTTACAACGGATTCACTTAATTAACAGTGAAGGGCATTTTTTCCTTGTGAATGGGGTTGTAAAATGTAATGTCATGCGCAGTTTCAATGTATGTGTCTTTTAAGTCAGCTTTAATTAGTGCCAACTTTTCAAGAATGTACATGTACCATACAGTTAACTGCACGTTGCTAAGGAGAAACGATAAAAAGTGGGGATCCTTTGCACAGAATGGGCGAGAACGCAGAGTGTCTTCTGAGAGCCCATTCATTAAAGTCAAATTTGATTGGGATCCAATCCTGAAATTATTTATTGCATTTTTTTCTTTAAATACCGACACTTTTTTCACGTTAATTTGCAGATCGACTTTGGGGTGCACGACGTCGTGTCATTCAAGCAAATGCGTCAGTTTACATAGGCCTACTCGGAATATACTGCAACCGAGCAATAATAGGACCAGAAATTTAAATAAATTGTATTGCAATAATGAAATGATACGCGAACCGCAGCTTTTGAGGAAAAAAGAATTTACCTTGCGAAAGGTCATTTTTTGCAATTCCACTAGTTACGCACCAGATAACTACGGAAGCGTATAACGGCCACTTGCAAAGACTTTTTCGAATAACTATCGCCGCGACGAAGTTCTATCTTATAACTCGCCGCGGTGTGTCGCTGCGGCGAGATAATAATTGCCGCGGCGAGATAGTGAGGC